CCTTCAGTGTCTCTCACTCCGAGTGTTTGTTCTTGTTTTTATTTCCACCTTTGTTCCCCAGGCCCGCTGGGATTATTTTTGACTCTACCATATATAACGAATGTAAATCGTAGCTCGTTTCTAATCTCACGCTCTCGTTTATTTCGTTGAATTACAGATCGAACGCGGCTCCAACAGCGATGATCCACCAGCACTCGGTGCCGTACAACAACAACAACACCAGCAGCAGCTGGACAGTCGTCGAGCAGCAGCGGCACATCTTCGCACCGCCACAACCGCTCGTCATGCGCTAGTTGGCACACAGTGATCGTATCACACGCACACAGATAAAGAGCAGACAGCTCAGAAATGGAGGAATTTCGTGGCTCACCGGCGGCGCGTCGCCTCGATCCGAGAGCCCGCCTGGCCTCGGAGCTGCTGCAGGCGGCCGGACTGGGCTCGTCGTCGTCGGCGCCCTGCAGTCCTCAATTGGCGAGACACGGCGACTCTTCGTCGTCGGGTCCCGCGTCGCTGGGCTGCCAGAGCCCGAGGATGGCGCGCCGAGGCCGCCAGGGCCCGCCGCCGCCACCGCGGCCCAGACACAAGCAGATACTGGCCCAGCATTACAACGAGCCGCCGGCCTACGCCAACGTGCCGAACAATTCGTCGAGTCACTCGTTCAAGAAGGACAACAACTTCAGCCTGCAGAGCTTTCAGGACGCGATGGCGGCCAAGGCGGCCGGCTACGCCGAGCTCCGCGGCGACAGCCGCAGCAGCAGCCCGATGTCGAGCGTGTCCAGTCCCAAGCTCAAGATCAGCCCGTTCAATTTCACCTCGGACTCGAGCGGCCACGTCGAGTATGTAGACAGCGGAGGCCGATCGTTCTCGCCCACCTACGAGCCGCTGAGGGTGCGTTCGCCAAATCCCACTACTACGGCCACGTCGGCGGCGGCTAATACTACTACAGCGATGGCGACCTCGGGAAGCAGTAGAAACTCCTTCGAGAGGAGACAACCTGCGTCGTCGTCGGAAGACAAACAGCAGCAACATCAAGCCAAGGATGCCGTGCAGCTTCGATTGTTCTCCACGGCTTCGTCGTTGTTGCAACAGCAGCAGCAGCAGCAGCAGGCATCGTCGTCGTCGTCGTCGAAGGGATTCGATCGCGGGTACGAAAGCGCCGTGGCGGATCTGAACTGGCAGGAGAGATATCTGAAATTGCAACTGGAATTGCATCGCACGCAGAACGAGGCCGTCAAGGTGCAGGACACGCTGCGCGAAAAGGTGAGTGAGCTACACGTCCGTTTACCCGAGCTTTAATCAACGGTATACGAAATGAAGTAGGCGTACGCGCCGAGCCGTTTGTATAGGGCCTAAATAAGAATCTAGAACCGGTCGTTGGGTTCGGAGGAGAGAGAAGCGCCGCCGTCATCGTCGCCCTCGGGGGACCAATCACGACAAACGATCCGTGACTAAACCAATAAGTGAGCCCGTTCCAGAAGAGAGAGAGAGAGCATATATACATATTATACCGTTGAACAGAGCCATCGGTTGTGTCCGAGAGAGGGACCCGATGCGCCGTTTAAATGGCCTAGACGATAGTAATAGCCAGGAGAGCGTTACTCGAGGAAAATGGATTTGTCGAGATTTTTTTTACTCTCTTTTTTTTTTTATTAGTACGAAATGGCTTTCCGATTTTTTTTTGCACAAACAGAGTATGTAGATATAGAGCGAAGAAATCGTTCGACGCCGCTGATGACACACGCGCGTGCGAATGTCTCGTCTCTGAATCATCGTTCTCTCTTCGTGCGCATCGAGCTGCTGCCGCTGTCCAACATACTACTACATACTAAATGCAAATTGAATATAAAGCCGGGCGCGCGGCTGTTTATTATAACGAATTCGAAGTGACACGTGGCATGCGCCAAACTCGTAAATCGTCCTCGTCTTTTTCGATCCTATTATACTCGAGTGTGGTCCCCCCAGAAGCAGCAGCAGCAGGAGCCTGCCGAATTCTCGTCTCGTTAATAATATTCATACGCGCGATAAAAGCTCTTCTCCTTATACCACTACGCACCACCACGGCTATATCCCGCGCGACGATTTGCATATCATTTCTAAATGCTCCGCGTATATATATATACTCGAGGCTTTTGCCTCCGAGAACCCTCTTTACTCTCTCGCTCTCTCTATTATGCGCTATACGCGTGAGAGAATCTACGCGCGCGCGTGTACGTGTATAAACGCAGTGCTGCGCAGCGCTGCTGCAGAGAGAAAAGAGAGAAGAGAGATATAGAAGGAAGGAAGGAAATTTCATTCGACGCGTTGCATACGTCAATTGGTTATAGGCTTCTCTTTCTCTCTCTCTTTGCCTTCGGGGGGGCAACTCGAATACGCGACGCGACGCCGACCGTTTTAGTATGTACGATCACGAGCGCGGCGATTTAGCCTATATGTGTGAGAAGCTCTATACACGGTACTATGTGTAGCGCACACATAAAATGGTGCGCTCGCTCTATAGCTCTAGCTAGCGTTAGATAAGGCTGCTGCTGCTGCTGCTGCTGCAAGGATAGATAGTACAGCTTCGTGCAGACCAAACGGTGTAAATTGCCGCGCGGACTTTCTTTTGTCGTACACGTATAGATATATAGCTGCCTAAGCGCTCCACCGGCTATGTAGGCTATATATAGGTTTAAAAGGTATACGGGGCTTGGAGCGTCGTACCGCCACTGGATTTTATTGCGTCGCGAATTGGGTCTCATTGTTCGCCTTTTGCCCGAGTTCTTATTGCCGTGTACAGTACCCGAGAGAGAGCGAGAGCATATTGATGGCGTAACGGTGCTGCAAGCACACCTATATAAGTATATAGATTCTTTCGGGGATCGAGCTTTAGGAATGTTTGAACTTTGGCTCGACGCGCGCCCATTCGAAGCTCAAAGTCCGTGACGATGTAGTCTTATATAGCTGATGTGTTTTGTGCCTATATATATTCATGCGTTTTGTTTAGAGATTGGATTGTCCGATGATGGTCGCGCGTGCATGTGTGTTTGTCCATTACTCTTGGCCAAAATAAACAGCTCCCCTCACGCTCGAAAAGCTCTTTATATATTATGTACATATATGCGTCTTGAGTATACACAAACACGTGCGCGCGTCTGAATGTTTGGCTTTCTTGCCGCGACGTATAAAAGCTCGGAGATGAATGATTAACGCGTGAGAGAGAGAGAGAGAGAGAGAGAGAGAGAGGTGAATCAATATCAGCGCCACTTCCTTTCGAGTTTATCTTATGTATATTAAACCGAGGTCAAGCACAACAATAGATCGTGAATTCGCTGACGCATTTGCTTTTCATCAGTACTATTGTTCACGAATACGTATTAATAATGCGTTGATCCGAGCTCGAGTCAAAATTTGTTTGTCTAAATTTCGACTTCCCCTGTATAGTAGAGTCGAGCCTCTCCGGTTTCGGAACGAATTTTATCAAGGAAATCAAATCACTTACCGCAAAAAGTGCGATCTCCTCCTCCTCCTCCGTGAAAATTCTGCCGCGCGGCAAGCACCAGCTGTTTCCGCTCAGCTAGCCTATATATAATGCTAACGAATCGCGAGCCGAGCTTTTGTTTCTTCGCCCGGGAAGCTCTCTATCATTCGATTTTCTACCCGCTGTAAGAAGAAGAAGAAGAAGAGAGCCAGTAAGGGGGGGGGGGGGGGGGGNGGGGGGGGGGGGGAGAGAGAGAGAAAACGGGGAAAATAATCTTCGGAAGCTCGAGCTGAAATTTCATTATGAATACAGATTACCGAGAGGAGTGAGAGAGATGGAGACTTTGTTCTCTTGCCTTGCGAAGATATAGAAGGACGAAGAAGAAGAAGTAGGAGAGATGCCTATAGGCAGTTTGTCAGCTGTGCGCGCCGTAAGCATGCGGAGTAATTGATTCTTTGTCGGGCGGTGCCGATGTGTGCATGAAATAGAGAGAGAGAGAGAGAGAGAGAGAGAGAGAGGCGGCGATTAATTTTCACTCGACTGATCAACGAGCGAACGAGCTTTAGACTATATACGCGGGGAGGCTTTGATGTTGTTTTATACGCGATTAAGCGTATATTATTTCAATTAATTCGAGCATATATAACTCGCGCGCTTGCTTGCATTCATATTCTCGGAGTTTAATAATGAAATGCAACAAACGCTGTACTGCGCGAGATACGCGTGTTACCTTTGCTGTTTCTGCTTTTTTGCAAATTGAAAAGCTCGCTGAAATTACGTCCTCGACAATAGGGAGTAGAAGAATGAAGTTAAAGAAAAAAACACTTATACCGGTTAAAGCCCGGAAGTTAGCAAAGAAAATGCAAAATGACAGTGCGCGCGCGAGCTTCGTACGTAGCTATATACGAGTCAGCTTAGGTATCAGATTTAATGTAGAAATATTCCTTGCTGGTATACCTGCCTCTGTGCTGCGACGTCGACGGTGAACGGCGTAAGAAAAGAAGTAGAGAAAAGAAAGGAGGAATAAAGTTTAAAATGGGAAACGGAATAAAACGTCGACGGAAATCATGGAAATTACAAACATGCTATGTCTTGCATGAATATCGTACGCGACTTTCTCTCTACCCCCTTTCTCTTTCTCTCTCTGGAACTTTTGAAGAATTTTGCAGTCCCTCCACTCGAGCACACGCAACCGTACCACGAGAGAATATTCATAATAACAATAAAAAAATATAGTAATAATGATAATCGTAGCCCCGCTATAAAGAAAAACAATGAAGGTGGACGTTTAGGGCAGCTCACGTGCCATTTATGTATGTATGTATATAATAGAGCCTCGAGACCCGAGACCATTATGATAATTTTAGACAGTTGAATTTTTATAGCGAGTGCCCGCGAGGTCTCTCTACTCGTGGTATGCGTCGAAATGTTTTACTCCTACTTTGCCGCTGCGCGTAGGGGTTTTTTTTTACAGTAAGAAAAAAGGCAGCGAGTGGAGAGCGTTTTTACAAATTTTATTTTGAAATAAAAAATAAACATCTCGTACTGAAATTACCATTCAAATTTAATCAAGTATATATATGACAATTACTTTTCATCCGTATAAAATTTGTCGAATGAGGTCCGGTCGTGAATTAATTTGTATAATTTTAAATTTGAATATGAGAACTTCATTACAATATAGTTATGAAAATTATAGAATAATTTAAAGATAGACTATAAAATAACCAAGTTGAACTTATAATAAAACAGATGATGCCTCCAAATAATGACTCAAAAGCAAAAAAAGAATAATAATTAATATAATTTACAATCGAACTAATATTATTATTCTTGAAATGTTTTATTGTCATCGCAATTTAAAGTACGAGCTAATCCAGAAAAAAATTATTCCTTCAAAATGCATGATTCAAATGAACGTCGTCCTTTTTTATTTATGACAAATTTTTTGATGCACTCGTTGCATTTGTCAAAGTCAAACTTCGATGTAACTTAATTTCTTCGGTTTCGATTCACGACTTGTGTACCTCGCGTCTGTGTTGATTCAAGCTTATTTTTTTAATGAACGTCTTTCCACAATCGCTACATTTATGTTCCGTTTGATGGACGACCCTCATGTGTCTCAATAAGGTGTATCTCGACGCAAATTTCATATCGCATTTGACACATTTGGGTCCGTCGCATTCGTGATTGTTCCGACCGGACCTGAATTCGTATATTTTCTCACAAAATTCGCACTTTTTCATTGCGTCTTGATGGACCTTTAGCAGATGTCTTCTTAAATGATGGCTCCACACAAATGATTTATCGCAATGATCGCATTTGTGTTTTTGACTTTCGTGCTCTTTTACGTGTTTCTCGAGTTGACTTTTGTCCTGGAACATCTGATTGCAATGATCATATTTATGTTTCGGTATTTTATGCACTTTTACGTGTTTCTCTAATTGATCCTTGTCCTGGAACATCTTATTGCAGTGATCACATTTATGTTTTTGGCTTTTGTGCACTTGTACGTGCTTCTCTAATTGATTCTTGTCCTGGAACATCTGATTGCAATGATCACATTTATGTTTCGGTATTTTATGCACTTTTACGTGTTTCTCTAATTGATCCTTGTCCCGGAACATCTTATTGCAATGATCACATTTACGCTTTTTTTCCTTCACATTACCAAGGTGTCCAATGTTTATGTGTCTTATCAAATTAGACTTATTGCAAAATCCTTTGCCACATTCGTCGCATCTATTTTCCGCTTCAACTTGATCCTTCTTGATGCCTCCTCGTATCTTATCGTGCTCGACTTTGGCGCGACTCTTGTCCGGATGATTGATTTTTTGCGCTAATTTTTCATCGCGTTTGTCCTGCGACTTGTCCTTTTCGACGGCTGGATGTTTGACCCTCTTATGCCTGATCGCGGACTTTCCTCGATGCACCAAGTCCCGATGACGATCGAAATCTCGCTCGCTCGGGAACGTCTTGTCGCACGCGTCGCAGCGATGTCTCTTCGCGTGAGCCTTCCATAAGTGCGCCCGCAGATTTCGCTTGAAATTGAAAATCTTGCCGCAGGTCTCGCACGGATGTTCCTTGATTACCGGATGAACGATTCGCTGGTGCCTGATTAGATTTTTTTTCGACGCGTACGCTCTGGGACACGAGTCACATTTGAATGATTTTTCCTCCGCGTTGGAGTCCGTTTTTGCATCACTCGATACGTCATTATTGTTGATGTCCACCGAAACCTCGCTTTTTACAATTATTATTTCACTCGCAACACGTTCTTCCGCTTTGATTTCCTGCTTGAACTCGCGCTCGAAATTGATCAAACTATGAGTTCTTCTAAATTTTTTATGATAATATTCCGAGCTCGATTGTTTATCTGATTTAACTTGGTTAAGAAACATGATTTCGACTTATTCCGCGATTCACCTACTTTTTGCTGCCAACTCGCCAAGCTCAATTATACGTTTGGAATAGTGTCGCTCGATTATTTCTGTTTGTTATTCGACTAGTGCGTGTATGTTTACTACCGGTGTTTACGTTATAATATTGCCTATATCTACTTCAATCATCTCCGAGTCTTTAAAATTTCGACTATCGCGTAAATTTTAATTGAAAAATTTCTTGTAGAGCTTCCGAAGCCCCTCGAATAAATCAAACTGTGTTTTTTTCTCTTTCTCTTTCCCCATCGTTAATAGCTCTCACATCGAGACGGAGTTAAAACACCGTATCGGTCCCGAAAGTAGTATAGTTCCATATTCGATCAGACGGGAATTAAATTTTAACGACTCGCGAGCGAGCGAGCGAGCGAGCCTGGGCGTCATTTTTCATTCTCGCTCGAACTATTAAAAAAATAAAAATAATAAAGGAATAAAAATGTCGTCAGCCCTTCCGCTAAAGTAGAAGAAGAAAAAAAACGTAAATTTATCAATTTACGCTCGAAAGCCTCTCTCGGAGCGGCGCGGCCGTGTCAGACCATATTGCGCGCGGCGCTATAAATAAAACTCATCGCGATGACTTTTCGTGCGTTCACCGAACGGAAAAAGACTTCACGCGCTAATTGGCAGCAAAACGAGGCATGTATACGTATACTAGCTGCGATTGTTCGATCGAAAGCGTTACATAATGCTCGAGGTCGTGTGCGGCAGCATCGACGAAAATGCAAAAGTTAAACCCTTTTTAGTAACCGAGGAACCGAGGCGAGTCCCCGTTTGACTTTTGCCTTCTTCACTCTCGATTAATTTCTCTTTATATCGTACAGGCATGCCACGCGTTTGATGTATATATAAATTCCCACCGCGCCTCGCGTCAAATTATAATTCGAAAACTTCGACTCTACATATACACACACAGTTCCGAGCCACAAAGCAAAGAAAAGCCTCTTCCCCTCCCCCGAATTGGTTTCGCTTTTGGCCCAAGACGCAGGAATGATTATTCAATGCACTTCCGTTTTAATTAGCGGCGGTGGCTGCGACGGCGGTGGCGCACATATATTACATATTATAAGGAACCCTGCGCGCTCGCCGTGACTCCGTCGTAATACGAAATTTCCGTGAATATAACCACCCCGAGGCAGTCTTTCTGCGCCTATATCGCAGCAGCAGCAGCAGCAGTCACTGCAGCAGTGTTGTAATGTATATATAACGGAGCCAGGCCATAAGTTATCTATGCAGCAGCAGCAGCAGCAGTAGCATAACAGAGAGACACAGACACACAGAGGGCAGATTCATGCATTCGTTCTCGCGCCTAATGCGAGAGGTATGCGCGACATGTGCCTATATATATCGTTTGTGTATGTATACAAATGTGTGTACGTGAGCGCGAGAGAGAGAGAGAGCGTCGTGTATGTGCTCGTACCCATGGCCTGAATGGAATGTATGGGCTTATGCAAATTTAGGAAGAGACTGTACTGCAGCGAATGGCCCTGTGTGTGTGTACGGGTATGCGCGAGTCTCTGTGCAAACATGAGTTATTAATTTTATGCAGATTAATCTGCCGTAGAGAGAGACGACGACGACGACGGCGCGTGCTCGGGCGTAAATGAAAAGTAAATACGGTTGTATATATCATCGAGCGTTTGTTGCATTGTGCGCGCGCGAGAGCAAAAAAATAAGAGGAAAAAATTATCGCGATCGTATTTATCGATTATTATCACACGATCGCCGCGCGCGCGTTACAATTTGGTTCGTGTATATAACACGCAATAATGCGCACTTCTTTAAACGCCTGTAGGGGAACGTGCCGCGCGACGCGTTACGTATTCGTTCGAGGCCTATATTCACACCACGCGCATAAATATAAACGCTCGAGGGCGTGTATATACAAACGCGCGTCGATTTGCATAGATCTTGAAAAGAGAGAGAGAGAGAGAGAGAGAGAGAGAGAGAGAGAGAGAGAGAGAGAGAGAGACGCGGCTTGAAGCAAGCGAGCACGAAAGAGAAAGTCTTAATCATCGTTTGAAATTCTAATTTTTCATGGGGGCATTCATGCGATGTTGTGCATGATCCTCTTGATACAAACAATATGATAATATAATTTTTAGCGCGTACGTTATCGTATAAACCCGACGAGTGGATTAAGTTTTCATGTCGGGAAGGAAGCCGCTAGCTGCTGCAGCTTTTTTTCTATTTTATAACATTTTTCCGTCCAATTTTTTTTCTATCTACCTCGAAATTAAAAAGTGGATGGGTATATGAAAAATATAAAAAGATTTTTTTTTTGGACGTATACGTCGACGTCGGGAAAAATGAAACAAAAATAATAAAAGCGTCACAGTCATCAATATCGCGTCCCACGAATATATATCGGCATGTATGCGATTTTTGGTGGAACAAAGGCCGCGCGCGTGCCTGCCTCTGTGCAGCTTCTCTCTGCACGCCCGTGTGTATCAATATTGATTCGATGCAGCCGTGTTTGGCATTTCTTTTTTAAACTCTAAAAGGTATTTTTTTTTAACGGATAGAATTTCCGAGTTCTCTCTCTCTTTCTCTCTCTTTGTCGTTGGGGTCTGAAAAATTTGCATTTTAAATCGAAAAGAGAGTAAACGAGCTACGAGTGAATAAAGGTAAATACACAACGGCGCGGCGCGCGGCACACACAACAAAGAACTCATTACGACGACGACGAGAGTAAACAGGAGAGAAAATAGGTAAAAGTTCGCAGGCACGGAGAGGAAAGAGTGAGCAAGAGAGAGAGAGAGAGAGAGAGTAAGCTTGCGAGAGAGAGCTTGCAAGAGAGGAGGATTCAAGTGGCAAGTTAACGAGAGGTTGATAGACGCAACTGAGTCTAATACTCTCTTGAAAAGAGAAAGAGAGCGAGAGAGGAAGGTAGAGAGATATAGAAGAGGGCTTGCTCGACCGTTAAATCGAAAAATTCCATCCAACACGCGCGCGCGTGCAAGCTCAAGCTCTCTCTCTCTCTCTTATATGGCGCGCGCGAGAGAGAGAGAGAGGCTGAACTTCCTTAATTGCCATTTTCTATGCCACTCTAGCTCCCTCCCTGCAGTCCTGCAATATACCCTCTGGATGCGGAAAATTCCTATTCTCCTTCTGACCCTACAAATTTGTAGAATAGCAGGATACAATAACAATAACAACAACAACAAAATCCGCCCTTTTACATTTCTTTTGTCGTCCTCGCAGCTTTTACTTGTCGCGTCTATCGAAAGGTACAAAAAAAACTTTTTTTCCATTGGTAATGCTACTGACGTGTGCTTTGTAAATGTTATATATATGTACGAGGATTTCACGAACGTAGAGCTTCACGCGCGACAACAAAAGCACACGCCTACGCGCGCCGATTATATTCTCGTCGGCTTGCTGCAAGCTCTTTCTTCGCTTCGCCTACTCGCGCGCGCGTGTGGGTGAAATTTCCATTTATAAACGTCGATACAAGAAGAAAAAAAACCAGTCGATCTCCTTTCATTTATTATTCCTTTCTCTCCTCTTTTTTTTTCAATCACTCGATACGCGCGCATTCTCACACATACGCAAGTAAAGGTATTTATCGTGTGCGTGTATGCGCCTGCCGCATGGCATCGATCGTATTACATGCGCGATATGGCACGCACACACACACACACACACACACATACAGCCACTAAATTATGGATAATCTAACGATATCGTACGTAAGCGCGCACACGCGCGCCTAACAAATCTCAATATAAGTGATCGATTGCTTGCCGAGCTTTGTGTCTGTGCGTGTGTGGCGCAAGCTCTCAGGCCGATAAAAATCTTTTATCCCGGGGTATACGGCGATGCATTATATTATACCGGGGCTCGCGCATAAATTCAAATAGTCACACGAGTGCATGAATCTAAATTTGCAATTTCACGTGTGTAGGTACGTGTGCGTTATATAATACGTACGTATACATAAACGTGGTGGCAGCCGTTTGTTTCTCTGCATGAATGCTGCGCTTTCTTTTTATCTATACATGGACTATTGCGGGCAAAGATTATTTTAAGTATTAAACGACGGCGGACACGTCTCCCGGAATCCATAGCCGAGTATTGTAATTCCCACGTGAGTAAGCTGCGTACTATAGGAGCTTTTGGCCCTGTCCAACGCTTTACCGCATTAAAGCGTGAAATATCCAGCCATTATCTTGATTTGTATCGAGTTGCGTTCTTCGTTCCTCGTGCGGGGCTGTTAATTTTTCATGCGACTGCCTGATTATCTCTCTCTTTCTCTTCTGTATACCACCTCCCCAATCGGCTCGAATCATGTGGCAATGATCTCACGAATGTGTTTCGCTACTTCTTCTTATGTACAACGAGGCAAAACACATGCATCTCTATTACATTGACGTTAAACGCGTGAGAGTACATACGTGTATATAGAGGGGAAAGATTTCGTTTGCTTAAGGGATTGCCACTACCGTACGCCTGTGGTTTGTCTTCTCATCTGTATACGGGATAATTTTTCCTCCTTTTTGTCTTTTCCTTTTCTTCTTATAGTGTTACGAGAATAAGGGAGAGGCTTTACTTGTCTCGTTAAGAAGACGAGACAAAGTGACTGACGGCTGTTTCTCTTCTTTCTTCTTTTTTTTTTTTTGCTCGAGTCGTTATCCGTGATCAATCGAGAAAGTGTATACAGAGACGAACGAAGAGAAAAGTCATGTTAATATTGACGGAAAAATGATTAGATCGTCCCTTTCGTGACGTGTACCAACTTGGATTTTCGAGGTGCGTTGAAAGTTGGAAATCAAATAAATTCAAAACATAAGTACACATAAATGCAGATCGCGATTTGTACGCGCTATCGCACCCTATACAACGGATAAACGTAATTGAAGCGTAAAAACAAAAGTGTACGCGTAAGTCGCGCGTGGAGTAAAGTCTCTCGGCTCGCTCGCACGCCTCCGAAGAAACGTGGGCTAAATTTCATTTGAAAAAATAAAAAGTTTACAATAGCTTGTGCAAAAAAAAGGAAGAAAAAAAGAGAGCGAGAGAGAGAGAGAGAGAGAGAGAAGATGTAACAAAGAG